TATAAAGCCACACCGGACAACCCCAGGGCCAGGACTGTGCTACGGAGACCAGCAGACCGTATAAAGCCACACCGGACAACCCCAGGACCAGGCCTGTGCTACGGAGACCAGTGGATTTTATAAAGCCACACTGGACAACCCCAGGGCCAGGCCTGTGCTACACAGACCAGCAGACTTTATAAAACCACACTGGACAACCCCAGGGCTAGGCTCATGCTATGTGGGCCAGCGGACTTTATAAAACCCTCTGGGTTTCTAAGGTTTAGTTCATCCACTGGAAAAACAAGAGCCAGGACAAACGCGTTCCACACTCTTGGCACATACTTTCTTCCAAGTTGGCCTGGCTGACCCAGGGGGATCCTGGGCCAGGGACAGTCTCCCCCAACCAATGCCAACTTCTGGGACCCCAAGGCCAGCACGGGAGGTATCCACACATGCTCTGGCCCCCAAGAACCAGCTCACAGCACAGGTGCCTCAAATTAAGAAAGGACAGCCACACACAAAGCCTCACTCCTCATGTGTGTGACACAGAGATGCTTCCTAAAATCTAGATTTTCAAGTCTGACCAGGACATTTCTGGAATGAGACTTTTCAGAGCCCATATTTACTGAGCTCTTGTTACGGGCAACGCCCTGTCCTTAACTCTCTGTGCACGCCACCATGGTTAACTACCATAACCATCCTACAAGGCAGGGGCTGCTGCCACTCCCACATCACAACCAGGGAAACTGAGGCTCCTGAGTTAACATGCTAGGAGGTGGCAGAGGGGACCTAAATGGGGAAGCCTGACTCCAGAGGTCCCACTGCCAACATCAGGGAGGACGATGGAGCTGCACACCCTGACCTCTGTCGCCCCGTGGCCAGCCACTCTCAGAGCGGACAGAACAGCCTCCTCTTCCAGTCCCAGGCTGTGGAGCCCAGAGGGCCCTGAGGCCTGGAGAGGCAGGAGCGGCTGACTGGTGACGGGGCCGGGCCAGGCCTGTCTGGAGCAGCCCCTTCTCAGACAACAACACAGCGTTGAGGGCAGCATCCTGGGTACAACAGAGCTGCGTGGGGTCTTCACACACAGCCAGCCAGGATGTGCCAGGGGCTCTAACTGGCCTGGGTGGGCCTGTTTCACACGAAATGAGAAAAACAACTCATTCACCATCACAGCTGCGCCCCATCAATTCCAACCGCGTTTATCTGTCCACGTTTCCTTTCAGTCCCCTTACATACCCCAACACCAACCTTACCGTTTTGTGTTTGTCTCTTGTCCCTTCCACGAGAGGGCCCCAGCGCCCCCACACTTACAGCCTGGCCTCGATGATCGAGCAGAAAAAGGGTCAAAAGTCCCTCAGGTAGCCAATGCTTTCTTGTCACCCAGAAAAGTTAAACCCTGAGCTGGCGTGACAGCCCCCCACACCCTGGGCAGCTTGCTGACATGGACCAGCTTGGGGACTGCAAAGTCGTGAGGCCAGCAGAGGGGGCCACGTGCCTGATGTTGTCCAGTACCCTGTGGAGGGAGGGGAACAATCCTCCTCCCACTAGGAAAGGCCCCTCTGAAGGAACATTAGCCTCCTTCTGGGAAGACAAGCGGCTGAGAAAGAAGAAAACCGGCCCTAGCTGAAGCCAGAGGCTGAACCCACAGCCGGTAACTCAGCCAGCTACTGGAAGGCTGCAGTGTCCCCGGGTGGTGGAAAGCGTGGGGGCAGAGCACACCTCTGAAGCTCGTCTTTAGGGCTGCTGATCCTGCCTCTGACTCACCCGTGCTGTGTAAGCCGCGGTAGCGGCTTAACTTCTCTGGGCCTCAAAATTGCCTTATGGGTACAATGCAGATAGGAGTAGTATCTACCTCATAGGGTCACAATGAGAACTGAGTTAAAGCTCCAAAGTGCTTAGATGAGCTTAGAACAATGCTTAGCACAGAGAAAGCTCCATCCAGCTCTAGTGGCCACTGGTATTAATGAGGCTAAGGCTGAAGGCTTGAGCCCAGGTCTATCTGCACCTCAAGGCTTCGCAGTCACAGCTAAAAAGGAATGGCCCATGGCCAGGCAAGCCCTGGCTCATTCCCTGCACGGATACAGGGCCACCGAAGTGGCTGCCCCGACCCACCTGCAGCTGCAGAACTTGCTTCTCGAAGGCAGCTGCCTTGGCCTCCAGGGCCTTCCGCTGCTGCTCCTCCTGCCGCGCGGCTTCTGACTTCTCCACCAGCTCCTTGCTGACCTTGCTGAGCTCCTGCCGAAGTTTGGCCAGCTCCGCGTTCTGCCTGCAGGACAGCCACCAGGCCCAATGATGGATGGAAAAGGACACGCGTCGGCGCATGCCAGCCCAGAATGCTGCCCCGGGGCCAGGCTGGTGCTCTAAGCATTCTCCCTAGGGGATCTGCTCTTTCACAAACAGCTGCCTGAGTCATGGAGCCATTCCCAAAACCACTGCTGTCGCACCTGGTGTGTGGGGCCTGTGGGCGTTGTGCTGGAGCCTAGCACACGCACGGGACAGAGCACAGCAAACGGGCCCTAGAGCAGCCCACGCCTCCTAGGAGCACCCAGGTGTTACAGAGGACAGGCCAGGTGTGCTTATCCTCAGGGCTGATCCAGGTGCTGTTAATGGGCCCCGTATCGCAGCCAACTCTGGGGGACCTGACCCTGCAGAAGGGCAGCCTGGGGGTCTCCGTGCCCCCTTCTCTGGCCAACTCTGGGCCTGGCTAGGCTGCCCCAAGCAGGACCCTGGGCACTGTGTTCTTCACAAAACAAACCCTTTGATGCTGTGCTTCAGAAGCTGTGTCTCAGAGCTCAGGAGCAAAAGAGAGACTCGACTGAAGGAAGAGAGGGGCCGGGGCCACTGAGCGCCTGCCTCCTCAGCAATGAGGTGCGGCAAGGACAATGGTGACCGCTGTCCAGTGAGGGCACCAGACAAGGCGGGGGAGGCGAGAGGACTACCCACCACACCAGGGTGGCCGTGCAGGCCCAGCTGGGGAGCCCGGGCCCTGGCCGCTCTGCACAGCCAGCTAGGGGGTGTGGAGCCACCACCTCCCTGGACTCCGCGTCCTCGTCTGTGCCGCCGGGAAGCTGTGCAAAGCCCTCAGCAGGGCCGCAAGTGCACGCTTTTCACACTCCAGACTAGAGCACTCGTGCCGGCGGCCAGACTCCTGGCAATGGGGGTGATGACGGGGGGCTGGGGCAGCTCCTGGACCCACATGGCTCTGGAACCCTACGAGGGCCTGGAGAAAAATCTGTCCTGCTGCTGAATACTCTAGACTGACTGGAGATCAGCGGCCACCGCCTCGAGGGACACAGCTCCAGGCTTTGGAGCTGTCCCTAGTTAGGGTCCACAGCTGACTCCACGAGAGAAGCTAGAGCCGCCCTCTGCCCCACGTGCTCCTCCTGCTTATGGTGGCTGAGGAAACAGCAGCCCCAAGTCCCCTGCCAGACGACGGGTGAGGAGGAGATGAAGATGTGTGCGCACACACCCAGAGGACACAAGGCCAGGGGGCGTCTCCAGACAGGAGGGGCGCTGCCTGGAGGAGGCCTTTACATTTACTCCACACTGGGGCAGAACTGGCAAAAACAGGCATGGGCCACAGATGTCCCTGCCGAGGCTCCCTGCCACTGAAGGACTGAGGGGTGCTGCTGCTCTCCACTCTCCTCACCGAACAGACACTCTGGGGATAACGCAGAGCCTCAGAAGTGTGCACCGCAGGCGTGTCAGGCCAAGAGAAGCCATAGCACCATGAGCTGAGAGAAACGCAGCTGCTTCTCCAGGGCCAGTGGGTGGGGACTGTGACCTTAGATGGGGAACGGGAAGAAGGTAGAGCTGCCTTTCACCGTGGGGACTGAGCGCTGGGCTCGGGCTCTCCAGCACTCCTGCTGAGAGGTGATCCTTACTGAGAGGACACTGCTGAGCAGGGACCTGTGTGCTGTGATACGATGCTACCACCTGTGCTCGCAGACACCACCATCCCTTCCAGAGAGGAGGCCACGTCAACGCAGGGCAGTGGGGGGGGTCAAGGCCCCAGGCCCACGGTAGGCCCCTACACCACCAGCAAGTTCTCAGACAACTGCCTGGTCTCATACTCAGGCCTCACACTGGGGAGTGAAGACAGGCGTGCAAGAGCAGCCGCTCTGGCAGGAAGGCAAGATGCCAGCACCAAGAGTGCTGAGGGCACCGACCACATCTACACCCTGGCCCGACGGGGGAAAGCTGCCCTGAAGCTCGCCCTCTCCCTGCAGCTGCCACCACCAAGAGGACACTGGGCTCTGAGTCCTAGCTCACTGCAGAGGCGGAGGGCTCAGGGCGGAGACTGAGGCTACCTGCAGGCCTGCAGTCCCTAAGAAAGCCAAGGTGCACCTGCCAGCCCAGCACCAGGTCTCGGCGAGGGTCCTCCCCAGGTTCTGGAACCCTTTGGGATGCAGCTGTTCCTGCAGACCAGGAGTCTGGGCTTACTTGCTCTCCACCTGGCTGGTGGCCTGGTTCAAGGCGTCCCTCAGGATGGAGTTCTCCTGCTGCAGACGAGCCAGCTGAGTGTTGGGGCCGTTTTCCAGCTGCTCCTGAAGAGTTCGAATCTGAAACGTCAACAATAACGGTATCAGAGCTGGAGAGGCGAGGCACCTGCTTTACAGCAGGAATCAGCTTCTGGGCTGAGGTCAGTGAGAACACAGCCCGCGAACAGAAAGCCCTGGGAAGGCTTTACCTGCTCCACCAGGAGGCTGGGAAGGTCCTATGAAACAAGAGGCCTGACGACCACAGAGCTCTAGCGCCGGAGTGGCCCCTGCACCAGGCCTCCCAGCCTGGTCCACCCAGGGGACGAGCACTAGCCCAGAGTCTCAGATACCCCCGTCCACCTCTGCCTCTGAGGTCGCCAGGTCTACCACAATGCTGCAACCCACAGCCTACCATCACCTCAAGGAAGACTCGTCCCAGCCCACTGACCTCCGACGGCGCCTCCTGCACTGTGCAGGGGGAAGTCACAGCCCAGGAGGCACAGAGCGCAGGCTGCAGACACGAGTACCAGGGCCCTGGCTAGAGTGCCACTCTGGAGGGGCCGCTGCCCGGCGCTGGCCTCGGGCCCGACTCTGGAGCTCTGCAGCTGTCAGGCCTCCCAACCTGGACAGTCCTGCTCCAGGCTCCCCGGGAAGCTGAGATCCTGCCCCACAGGTGGTCACCCAGGAGACAGGGACACAGGCCAGCTGCAACCAGTTGCTCTGGAAAAAGTGCTCCCTGTGATGTATTCTACCCCATCCTGGTTATTAACATCAAACACACACATGCATGGAATGGGCTGCCTGGCATTGCCCTGCCACATGGAGCAGGTCCTGGCCCCCCAAGAACCTGTCCCAATTCAGAGCACCCCCAGCAGCTCTGGCCCCATGGCCCACCTTGCCCTGCAGCTGCTGCACCTCCTTCATGTGCTCATGGTAGCTGGCCTGCATGCGTGCCTGCACCGCCGTGATCTCCTGGTCCCGGGCCACCAGCTGCTTCTTCATCTTGGCCTCCTCGGCTGCTGCCTTGGCCTTTTCCGCAGCCAGCTCCTGAGGCAAGCAGTGAGAGGGGCAGGTGAGGAGATGGGCAGTGTCATTGGGGGCAGGGGTGGGGGCCCGTCAGATGGGATGGAGACCATTGCAGGTGGTATCTGTTACACTCAGAGCACCGTGGGGCTGGAAGGAACTCGAGAGCAGAGCACTGTTGAGCTCCCCCTGCGTGCTGAGTTCTCGGGAAGACCACATTCGGTGCGGCAGAAAGCAACCACAAGGCCGCCAGGGATCCCTAGGAAGCCCTGCTGGCCCCATGGAGCTGTGGGCCAGCTGTCAACGTGGCCACTGTGGAGGCGGCAAAACCAGCACTGCCGGGGCTCAGGGGCACTGGCTCAGCCCATGATGAACACACTCCAGGTACCCGCAGATCACTTTCAGGATGAGAAGGTGGAGAGCCCTGAGGGGAGGGGGAGGGGACGGGGGGCTGCCGTCCCACTGTAGCCAGGGTGTCAGCCCACCTCTGGAGAGCCCCAGGGAAAGATGCCATGATGTACACCAGATGCAAGGCCTGGGGACCGGCACCTTGGGAGGGCACTGTGCAGGTGGGAAGGGCTAGCCTGTGCGCCGCAGCAGCGGAGCAGAGTGACAAAACAGGCGAGGCTGCTCCTCCAGCCAGGCTGGCAATGGCTTGGCAGGAATACTGTGGGCCCAGCTGGCTGGGTGATGGGGCGCAAGTGTCCCTTGAGATTCAAGACCCTGCCTCTACCCTGGGGAGTGGATCAGAGAAGTGGGGGACTTCCCCCACCCCAGGCAGAGCCCCAGCCCTAGGACCAGAATGTCCTCCTGCCAGAGACCGGAGGGGACCAGAGGCCAGGAGAGGTGAGGCTGTGCTGGTCGGGGTGGTCACTGGGTGCCACTGTGGCTCCGTATGTCCGGCAGGCACTAGGACCCCAGGTACCCACTGGCCCTAGTTTTCAAAGACAATTATCTCCTGGACCCCACCCAGGGTGAGAGGCCAGCAAGAGTCTAAGTTAAGAAGCTCCCTCCTAATTATCTAGAGAAGTGGAGGGGCAGCTAGACTGTGCCCACTCTGGACAAGCACCTCATTTCATCCTTGGTGAGGTGAGCATTATCACCTCCACTTCAGAGCTGACAACACTGAGCCCTGGAGACACCAACCCTGGCCAGGGCTGTGGGCAGCTGCAAGTGGCAGGACTGTGACCCGAACCTGGGACTGTGTGAGCCCAGGCAGCTCCCAGGAAGGGGGCAGCAACAAGACCTCACGTCAGGCCTGGCCCCAGAAGCTCTCAGGACACAGGAAAGCACCCCAGCGGCTAGGACCTCACCGCACTATCTCCTCTAAAAGGATGCCCCACCGGCCCGCAGTGGGCAGAGTAGGGTGCGATGGATGGCACAGCCTCCATGGTGAGTAAAGCATGAGTCACTTTCCAGGCTGGCCCCTCCGTGCTGGGTTCCCCAGACACAGCCTGGAGAAGTAGATGGTGCAATCAGAGCTCGGAGGCCTGGGGCCACATGAAGGGCAAGTGGTGCAGCCCCTCACAGGCCACCCCCCCGACCCTCCTCTGCCACCGTGGGCCCCCAGAGGCTGGTGCTGAGGTGTCTGGGGATGCCCTTCCCCAGCCCTGGGTGGCCCCCATGCAGGCTCAGGGCGCTAGGCCCCAGCGTCCTAAGGGACCAGAATTCAGCAGGATTGTCTCTTGCTTTGCCCTGGGCTTTGTCAAAGGACAGAGAAAGGCCCACTCTTCCCAGCCCTCCATGGCCTCCCTTCCTTCCTCCTGCGTGTTAAATCCTTCATTCAGATGCACGGGTCACATTTATTTTCTTATACAGTGTCCCAAGCAGGGGGCATCGACCCAGTTTCCGCTGACTGGGCTGGGAGATGACAACACCCCACTGCGTTTTCAGCTGCTGTCCCTAGCCTCAGAGTGGGCCCCACGTGGCGTGAGCTCCCGCGGCTGGGCTGCCGCGGCTGGGGCGCCCTGCTCATCTGGCTCAGCTCCCAGCCCCGAGTGGGGGCCAGCGACAGGAGGATAGGCCTTGCAGCACGAACACCTCCTGCTCTCCCAGGGCACACTACCTGTCGGGGGCCTCCATAACTGCACCCTGGCTCACAGCCTGATCCCCTCCAGGGCCCTGAGGCCCAGGCATCCAAGAAGGCACAGGATGAGGTCTGTCTGAGAGTCGCTCAGGATAGAGCCCCAAAGAAAGGACCCCTGACAGAGTGAGGATGACAGAACGTTTTCCACAAGGGCTATGCCTTCCTGGCCACAAATCACTGGAGCTCCGCCGGAAGCCTGGGAGATTCCCAGAGGCCCAGGACAGTGCTCTGGGTGCCCAAGCCCACCGGCTCCTGCAAACCTTTGACCCACTCTGCCACGGATGCAATGTGTGTGGGGCCACGATTTGGCAGATGATGCCAGAAGTCCTCTGCGCCTAAATCACACCTTCAACTGCAGACCCCAAGAAAACGAATTAAGCAAAACCTTCTTTGTCAACTACAGAAACCTCTTTACAGGGACAAAGAGAACACGAGGGGAACCAGAAGACAAAACACAGACCCTCTCAATCTCACCGGCTCGTGGAGGGTTAAGTTAAGAAGAACTTAAACATTTTCAGTAACTTACTTTCTTATGTAATTTTGCTCAACAATATTGGGCTAAGAGATACAACACAAGAATCAAACAGGCACATCAGCTCTGCCCAAAACTCTCCACAGGGCCACCAAGACTCACTGTCGTAAACTCCAGGGGCACAGGGAAGGGCAAGGGCCACATGCATGAGCCACAGCCTTGAACCATCTACACGTGGAGGACGTAGGAGGCCAACACAGGCTCCTGTGGGCTGGCAGCAGCTTCAGCCTTCGGGGCCACTCACTCCCAGGTGCCTGCTCGGCAGGGCCACGCAGAGGCGGGCACGCTGCTTGCTCTCCAGGGGCTCCCAGTCTAACGACAACCGAAGATCTAAGTGCTACGAGGGAAAAACGGGGGTGCCAGAGGGCTCCGAACAAGGGAGATGGAACTGAGGTTCAGGATAAGGAAGCGCGGCCCAGAGAAGGTGAGAAAGGGCCCGGTGTGCCTGGGTGCAGATGGAGGGAGGTGTAGGGGGCGTGGAGAGGTAGGAGAGTGGGTTGTGTACAGAGGAAGCAAGGTGGGAAAGTGGAGCTCAGTGGGCAGACCTGAGCTCAGGGTGCAGTTTAGAGAGGGTCTCTGGGACCAGCTCTGCGTGTGGGAGCCACGGAGGCCGCCCTGAAGTGAGTGAGGTGGGTGTAGGCAGGGAGGGCGGGCCTAGCTGGACCACTGGCAAACTCCCCCTCACCTCAGAGCCTGGGAATCCCGGACTGGGAGAACAGCAGGTGAACAAAGGGCTTGCGGCCCAGGTAGCTCACGGCTCCCCGCAGCTACCAACAGGGGATCTACTGTCCGGCCCGGGGGTGGGGGCTAGGAACGCACTTAGAGCTGATGAGGGTACCTGGGTATCAGCAGCCATCATGGTTTTGGAAATCTTGTCATGGGGCCACCACTGAGGGAGAGCTTGGACACCATGACCAACACGTGGGGAGGGAGGCTTCTCATGTAGGTCACATGCCCCCACCTGTCGCCCCTCCCAAGGTGGATGGAGACCCCAGCAACAGGGAAGGGACGGGCCACCATCACCACTGAAGGCTGTCCCCCACCCCCTTGGCACACTTCAAACCCACCCTAAATTAGGGGCATGCATAGGTAGTAACCCGGAAACTACACTGCCACCTAGCCCTGTGCTCACCCCATCTCCTCTGGCTTGAGATTTATTTGGGAGTCACTGCATTTTCACAGGGATTTCACAATCTGTTTGAAAGAGAGTACAGAAGAATGGCTCTCTAAAATAAGACTCTTAACCAACGGTGAGCTGGTCAGCCAGCTCTCAGGATGAGGCTAGGGGAGGGTCTCGTGTGATCTGTAGCATTTGCCAATTTCTGTGGTGTGAACACTCTTGTCATGGCCCACATCAAGCCCCAGAGTGACATCACTGAACATGGAGTGGGGAAGGGATGCGCAGTCAGCTCCGTGAGCCAGGCAAGGGGCTCCAGCCAGCCCTGCATTGACCCATACAAGACAAGCTCACAAGAAGGCCGAGTGTGGCCAAGTCTCGGGAAAGCTTACAGCAGCCCACACGGGCAAAAAGCCCTGGGAGGCTTGGTCTTTTCCTCTTCTCCTGGGTGTAACATTTAAAAAGTGGCCACCGAAGGCTCCTCACTGCTTCCTACCTGTCCCTAGCAAACGGACTTTCCCTTCTGGCTCTGAGCTGCGCCCCCTGAACTCATATCCAATTCCTCATTAGTAATCAGGTGGAAGTTCTCCTGGAAGGGACATGTCTGCATCCCAGACCGTCCCCTGGGCCTGCTGCCCAAGTCCTGTCCTCCCTGTGTAGACAGACTGGGGTTGGTGGGGCTGGGGGGTTGGGGAGGGGGCAAGGCCACCCACAGCTGTCTGCTGGGATGGAGAAGCACTGCTGTAGTCTACAGCACCCCCGTCCCCCGCCCAGCAGTCCTCCAGGACGGAGAAGAGGGAGGGAGAGACACCTTGTATTCTCGCATCCAGTGGCTTCCTCAGACAAGTGTGCTGCTCCGGCCTTCACCGGGCATCACTCACTGAGCACGAAGTTTATGGGCCAAGCCACCAGCAGAGAGTAAAGACAGGTGTTTCCTGCAGGATCGGTCCACGGACATCAGAAAAAGGGGGACAGCAGCTCCTCTAACACCTCCCCACAAATGTGTGCTCCAATTCTCCAGAAGACAACCTTGGGTCGCCGCGTCCCCTCCTTTCTGGGCACAACCCCTAGAAGAGACAGCCCCTCAAAGGGACCATCAGTAAAGGCCAGTTCTGGTCCATCCTGACCACAAGCCAAGGTCCCTAACCCTCTACATATGTTCCAGGTGTGCTTATAACCAGCAGGAAGGCAGCCTACCACCCCTCAGAGCCAAAAGGCACCGCTGAAGGGTGCCCCTGGCCTCAAGCTCCTGGGGTCTGCAGATCTGTCACACCAGTCACGTCACCCGATTGTGCCGGGCCTGGCCCCATGACCCAAGGGGCTCTGGGAGGATGGGGAAGGAGCCCACGGAATGCGCTTGGCCATACCTTGTTAAGTTCCCGCAGCTTGCTCTTGGCGATGGCCGCATCTTCCTGCTCGGTGGCCAGCAGCTTCTCCTTCTCCTCCAGCTGGCGCTTCAGAATGGTCATGGGGTCGCCCTTCTGGGTGGCCTATAAATGCCACAGAACATGTTAGCAGAAATGGAACAGGCATCTCTGCTGTCCTCCCTGCAACCAGGCCTGGACCCCAACAGCAGCAGAGGCTTCAAGAGGTGAGAGGTGAGAGCTTCCAGATGGGCAGGCTCCCCAACCTCACTGCCCGCCTGCTGGCAGGGACTCCAGGTTAGCTTCCAGAGCATGATGTTTCCCACCAGCTCGCTTCGACGGTCCTCTGAGGGATGGTGGGGGTGAGCTTAGAGAAGGGGTGGTCATTTGACACCCTCAGTCACAGCCCCTAGGAGACCCTGATGCTGACTTAGCGAGGAGCTCCCTACCTCTGGACACTGAGGGTAGGGGCTACCACGCCTGGTTCTCAGGAAACCCCAGCACACCTCTAACTGCTAAAGGGTGCCACAAAACTTTCCAGTAAAAGTACTTTAAATTCTAGCTCTGCCTAAGAAACACACGTGTCATACAGCTCTGTCTGGGGAGCAAGGGGGCGCAGGTCATCACCAGACACACTGAAGGGACATTGGAGAGGGACACTCTGGGCTCGTACAGGGCTTCTTGCACAGAGCCCCACACTCTGGCCAAACCGGCTGGGCTCCAGGCTCCTGCGTGCCACCCCCGAGTCCTCGCCTAGAGCATGAGCATCCCCCGGGATGTTGGGGCACCCATGCCAGGCAACAACGACCCCTCGCCAGCCCTGAGAGAAGAGGTGAGGGGGAGTGCCCTGCGGCAGGGAGGTGACCCACCTTGTGCCAGGTGTCCTGGACGATGCCGGCCTTTTCAGATAGGACCTCGATGAGCTGCTGGGCCTCGCCCTCACTGAACACCATGCTTCCCAGCGTGGAGACCAGCGTCTTGTAGGGCAGGCAGAGAGGACTGTCGGCCTCCAGGGCCACTGTGCAGTGGGAGGGAAGGAGCAAACTTAGATGGGCACCGAGACGCAGACGCACAACAAACCCCATCAGACCCAGGGAGGGAGAAGGCTCCAGCAGGGCCAAGGGGACTCTCACTGTTCCGGTCTCCTCACAGGCTGGGTGCAGTGAGCATGACTTAGGGCGCCTCACTCTGTCAGAGTTCTGAGAAACTGACCAAACTAAGGCTCCCTGCACATCCTCCAAAGTGCCCCAAGACAGCTGAGGGAAAGCCCAAAAAGTAAAGAAAGGCTGTTGTCCTGGGTGGGGGTAACACCCCTCTTCCTTTATCATCAAAATGACCCTACGCAGAATTAAGCAAAGTATGTTTTTCCCACAGGTTTTTTTTTTCCTTCCCTCTTTTTCCAGCAAACCACCTGGTCCAGGTCCCCCCGCTGTGTGGCTCGGCAAGGCTCCCCCACTGCCGGAGAACAAGCCCCATACCCTGAGGGTCCTGGCTGACCAGTGGGCCCATCACTCACCATAAATCCATAAACCCAAACCCCCTCAGCCACAAACCAGCAGTCAAGGGAGAACGATGGAGAGGAAGGGGCTTTGCCTCTCCAGGGCACCCCACGACTTTCTCTGGGGTCCCACTGCTAGGTGCAAACACTATTTCAACTCCCTCAATGACACTTCAGCGGTGCTAGGCTTTGGAAGAGGGAAGGCCGGGCTGGATTCTGCCAGTCCACTGGTTACAGCCTGGATGACAGAGCCACTCGCCAACAGCTATCATTTCTGAAAGCCGCCCTGAAGTTCCACGCTCTCCCGTGCTCTCAGTGCAGCCTGAACACGACAGAAGGTGCGCCTTGCCTGGCCGGAGCCCACCTGCAGCACCCGGGCACTTCCTTCTGTTGTGGCCCAAGTCTACTCACAGACAACTGACAGCCCAGACTCGAGCTACAGTAAGGCAAAGAGGCGGCTGCAGCTGCCGTGCCTCCGCGCCAACCCCGCCGAGGACCGAGAAGGGGGAAGGTTTCCATAGCAACCCTAAATGCTCTAGCTTGTCACAATATTTCTACTTACTAGTCACAATATTTTCATTACAAGTCAAAGCATTTAGCATGATACCTTAATAAGGAGAGTGTGGGATGTGAGCACGCTTTTTGCTAGGAACACCTTTGTTTTGTAACTTCATTTGGTGAAGCTTGAAAGATTAAAAATAACCACGTTGATACTGAAGGTCTAAGAGCTCACAGGTAAAACCGAAACGCGTGCCCTCCGCAGCCTTCTTTCTTTTCATTGAAATATGTATCTATATCTACCTCTCCAAACAGAACCAAACCCGTTGCTGTCTAGTCAATTCCGACTCATAGCAACCCTAAGGGACAGAGTAGAACTGCCCCATAGGGTTTCCAAAGCTATATATCTTTACGGAGGCAGACTGCCATATCTTTCTTCCTCAAAGCAGCTGGTGGATTCAAACTGCTGATCTTTCAGTTAGCAGCCAAGTGCTTAACCACCGTGCCACCAGTACTCCTTAGACAAAGATGTAATATATATATTAATATATACGTATAGTAATTATTGCTATTAGCTGCCATCCAGTCAGCTCCAACTTATGGCAACCTTAGGTGTAACAAAACAAAATATTGCCCTGTCCTGTACCATCTTCATGATTGTTGGTATGAATCCATTAATATGTAATATATAATAATTATATATAAGTATATACATAATAAATAACACAAATAATCTTATTAATACGCTTATACACAGTATACAAAATTCTGAGGAAAGTTAAACCACGAGAGTGCACACACCCTCCTCCCAAGCCCACTGTCTGGAGGAGGACTCTCGATCTACAGACACACATTTAGAGCTGTGCTCTCCTGGAGAGGGGGATCCACTGAAGACACCACTGGAGTTATAAACCAGACAGGACCCCTTCCTACACCTCTGTCCATCTTCTATTCGTGACTCAGAAGGTCCACCCCTGCCCGTCCACAGCTGGCAACGAGTCCCGGGTAGCTACTAGCACCTGGAATGTGGCCAGTGCGAATGGAGATGTGCTGCGGTGGAGCATATGGACAGCTTTCAAAGCCGTGGTATGAAAAAAAAGAGAATATAAAATATGTCATAATTCTTTATACTGACTGCATTTTGAAATATTTCGGCTATACTGAGTTAAATAAAGTATATTATTAAAATTAATGCTGTTTCTTTTTACTTTTTAAAATGTGGCTACTAGAAAATTAAACTCCCAGCATGGCTCATACATGCAGCTCACATCGTATTTCTACTCAGCCAGGCTCCTTTCTAGCCCAGGACCCCCACTCCTGCTGAGACCTAGGGCTCTGCCTCTCCTGAGCTCTCCCCGGCCCCAATTCTCCTGGAGCCCACCCTTCTAAAAGCAGACAGACCAGGCCTACGCCCAGGCCCCAGAGCGCTGCCGGGAGGAGACACTGGGAGCGCAGCCAGGGATGTCTCCACAAACGTGCTTCCCTCCTGAGGTGAGAGAGAGCCAGCTGAGACGCTGTTTGTCCAGAAAATGTTTCGGAACACATTCTGTGAGAGTGTCATTCCAAATAAAGCCTGTATTAAAACTTTCTAATGTAACTATATTAAATGTATAAGCTATCTTCATTTTAAAAGTAACTTGTAACCCGGGAAGCAATCCAAAGCTATGCAGAGCAACGTTTACTCCTCCCCCTCCCACCCCACCATGTCCTGCACAAACTGCGGGAGGCTCATACAGACACGCTCTTAAAATTGGTTTTAAAGAGCCGTAACTTGGCAAACGTTTCTCACTGAATCTTTTAGGTAAGAACTGTGCCACCTCTATTTGCCCCAAACCAGAGGCAGTAAAACTGAAAGAAAAACAGGAACAAGCACGAGAAGTTCTGGGCCCTGGGAAGTCACGCTGACTTCCTAGTTCAGGATCCTCCTGTGGAAGCCTCGCCTGAGGCGGCGCCTGCTCTTGGAGCTGGCAGGCTGACTCCACAAGCCACGTCTCAGCAGGGCCCCGCAGGGCCCCACACGCCCCCGCACAGCCGCATGTCCTGCAGGATGGACACCCCCAGGACTGCACTAATGCTCGCTGTTGTGAAATCCCAGGCACTAAGACTTGTCAAAGACCCAACATTTAATCCGTTAAACCACAGACCTCCGAAAGAGCCCGGTGCAGTGCATTCTAAGGTGAAGTCCGCTTACTGAGGCTTCCTCCTTGCTGTCACTGCTGTGCTGACTCAGCGGGTCTGAGGGGGCAGGAGAGTCCAGAGTGAGATGGCAGGGCCAGTGGGGAACATGTGGTTGATCCAGAAACCCGTCCAGCAGAGGCGCTGGCAACACCCACAGGGACCAGGCACCGGGAAGGCAGGAAGGGACTGGGACAAACGGCGGCACAACCCTGTGCTCAGGGGCAGCCTCTGATGACTTGGAGGCCTTGGGCATGTAACTTCACTTTCCAGGCAGTGGCTCCACGAGGGAATCTGGGCCAGGACTCCTGGAGCTGTAATTTGTCAAGGAAACGGGATTCTGTGTGTTACCTCCTGACCGTTAATGCTAACGGCAAGTTCTGTAAGAAACAGACAAGTATACACACAGGGGCTGAACACACACACTGGTGAGACAGGTCTGCTGGCAGGCCACCTCCATACCTGGTCATTGTAGCAGCGGTCAGAGTGAGGCCCCGCAGCCAGAGGGTCTTGGCTTCAATTCTAGTTCCACCCTCCCCACCTGTGTCCTTAGCCAAGTTACTCAACCCCCCTTAGCCTCAGTTACCTCATCTGTAAAATGGGGTGACAACAGCTCCTCCCTCATAGCCTTGCTGTAACACGCTTGGAACAATGTCTTCAAAATCAATCAGTGAGGCCTCCAAAGACCCTAGTCCCGAGAATCTGGACTCTGAGTCTTCCCTGGATTTACGGAGCACCCAGGAGGAGACTGGGGCAGCTGAAGAAACTTTGCCTTTTCTCCGGCTCGCACTAACAGGACAGAAAGTACACGCAGGGAAGGCTCAGTAGCCGGCCCATGTGGGACACTCCTGTGGGTCAGGAGGATGCTTGGACAGAGTGAGGGAGTGTGGGCCTTGGGTTCCTGCCTCGCACACTGGATGTACCTCAGCAGCCTTGTGGAGGGGGCTGGGCAGCTCCGGGTGCTCAAGGAACCCCCGGCTTCCCAGGACCCCAACCAAGAAGCAGGTGGTGGCTCATATACTGTACAGAATGCTTCAAATTTCAAAATTACACTCCCTCCTGCAACCACATTGAGACACTTAATTACCTAAAATAAACTGATGTCTTGCAAAGAAGCATTTGGGAATCCTGCTCTCTCACCAACAACTGTGGGCCCTATGGGGAGAATTTTCTCTCCACATGCAGATTTACCGGGACCCCCAGTGGCCAGGTGAGTAAGATCTCAGCAGCCCAGCACCACATCCACAGCTGCCCCTGCAGTGCCCAGGTCCTGCAGCGTCTGGCATGCTCAGGCCTGGCTTCCGGAACCACAGCGGGGCCTCAGGGCTGTTCCAGGAATGGCCTTCCAAGCGCCCGCCAACAGCTGGTGCCTAATGAGAGGGATTGTCACCTACTGTGTACCCGGCAGTCTGCAAAGGGCCTGGAAGGGTACATCAGAGGTGGAATCCACCAGCTAAGAGAGGCCAAGGAGACGCAGGGTAGGTGCCACAATGCGAACAGACTAGCTTCAGAGCACCAAGGGAGCGTGAGTGTCACCAGGGAAGCAGCTATGGCAGCAACTCAGGGAGAGGCTTTGACAAGAGGGGTGCTGAAGCCAAGTGCTGCTGGGTGAGGAGAAGGCGCGGGCTGGGGGCGGGGAGCAGAGCGGCACAGGGAAGGCTGGTGGATTCTGGGGGAGGCGAGACTGGAGCGGGTCAGAGTCTTCACAGGCCCAGGTTGGATTTGATCCTGCTGGCAAGGAGCAGCATAGGACCCAGGCTTTCCATTCTGGAAGACTTATCTCAGGATGCCCAGAAGGACGGCTGGAGGCCAGCCAACCAGGAGGAACCGAGGCCACAGGCAGAGCA